TTCAGCAGTCCGAAAGTAAGTCCAGTGTTAAATGCCAGCCATAAAATGCACAGACACCTTACCTCTTCTGAGAGGTTGCCGGAATGCCAAACTGATAATTCTATAATCCTCTTTCCATTCAGTGAAAGCATTTCTTTGCTTTGTATTCCTAAAATAAGTTTTAAGATTTTTCTTTTCTGGAAATCACCACATTTTTAAAGCATGGATTTTAACATTCAGATTTGAAAACCCAGCAAAAAACTGAGCTGAGCTAGTTGATACAACCTTAAGGACTTGAGCCTTGGCAATGGAATGTGAAAGGGTGGAAACGGTGATGCCCTGAGGCACGTTTCACTGACATACTTGCAAATTCGCCCCAGAATTTGAAAAGTCTTACAAAATCTGCATTTTAGAAATTCAGAATGTACCGTTTCAAGATTTGAAGTCACTGATTTGGGGGAACTCATCAGATTTCAAAATCAAATCTGGATTCGGCCTTAGCTAAAAGTAGAAATGAATTCCAGCCTTTTGCAACGGCGTGTGCTGTGCCCTTATGGGGGACAAAGCGTGTTTTGCCTGGAGGTGGTTGTATTCTGTCACCGCAATGGCATTTTGTTGTGGTCAATGGACATGGAACAGGATCCCAAGTTGACAGCCTTGTCACAGAACTTTTCTGCCCTTTAAATAGCAGCTGTATAATTATAGGAGACAAGCAGTAGGCAAACAACCTAATTGGGTCATGGGTGCTGAGCAGGAACCGAAGAGGGCGCACTGTTTGATGGAGAGGTCCTGCTCTCTTGTTGGCATTCGTTCATCAGTGGGCATCATAGGAGTTGCTGGAGATACAAAAGGAAGTAGTTCTTCAAACAACGCATAGGTAATATACACGGGCCACTGCTTACAGGTGTGATGGCCACTGCCTTAGATGGCTTTAAGAGAGGATTTAACAAGCCCATGGAGGATAGATTCTATCAGCAGCTGTTACCTAGCATCCACAGACAGAACCTCCATATACAGAGAACATAAGAACATAAGAGATGCCAATGTTGGATCAGGCCAAAGGCCCATCCAGTCCAACCCTCTGTGTCACACAGTGCCCAGAAATACCAGGTGCCATCAGGAGGTCCACCAGTGGGGCCAGGACATTAGAAGCCCTCCCACTGTTGACCCCCCCAAGCACCAAGAAGACAGAGCATCCCTTGCCCCAGAGCCCCTATCTATACCTTGTGGCTAATAGCCACTGATGGACCTCTGCTCCATATGCCTATCTAATTCCCTTTTGAAGCCGTCCATGCTTGTAGCCGCCACCACTTCCTGATTCTATCAGCAGCTGTTACCTAGCATCCACAGACGGAACCTCCATATACAGAGGCAGGGACATCCCTGAATTCCCATGGTGGGGAAGCAGATGACACTGGGCTGTTACTTCCACACTGTTCTTGCGGTCCTTTGAGAAGCATCTGACTGGCCACAGTGTTTGGAAACTGAATGTTGCACCAAATGATCCTTTGGTCTGATTCAGCGGGGCTTCTCTTCCTGTGCATCGTTGTGTACCCCATAGATTCAGATGAGCAGCCACGTTGGTCTGAAGCAATAAAACAAAGCTTGAGTCCAGTGGCGCCTTTAAGACCAACAAAGTTTAATTCTGGGTATCAGCTTTCGAGTGCATGCACACTTGTATCCGGAGAAGTGTGCATGCACAAGGAAGCTTATTCCCAGAATTAAACTTTGGCCCCGGTCACACGGGAGGTTTTGGGCCGGACGAGGGACGGATCGGGGGCGCAGCAAACGGGCGCGAGCACACTGCAACATCTGGGAATCGGCGTGCACCCGTCCCTGATCCGTGCCTTCCGGCCTAAAACCCGCTGCAAAACACCCCCAAGTAAAAAGTAGCACCAACCTGGAATGGTGCAGCAAGTGCAGCCGTGAGATCGCCGGCGCGCCCGTCTGCAGGAGCAATTGAGGCTCCCGGCCGAACTGCACATGCGCACACATGCGCAGTTCAGCTGCCTTGCTCTCCCTGCAGTGGCTCCCCCCCCCCCCGGCATCTGATCGCGCCGGGGACCCCCCCCGTGTGGCAGGGGCCTTTGTTGGTCTTCCAGGTGCCACCGGACTCAAACTTTGTTCTGTATGTGCAGTAAATAATGACAAATGTCTGTGTTACCCCCCCACCTTCCTACTCCCTGTTTGCTTTTGGTTCTCAGCTTCCTCACTTCACTGCCCCCCTCCCATTCCTGCCACCAGCCAGTCTGTTTATCTGCGGGTCCTTTCCAAAACACTTCAGTAGTGTAGATGGCAAATGTGCCGTTACTATGGCATGAGCCCACAAATGCCACTTGTGCTGACTCTTCCCGTCACACTGATAAAAAGGGCATCGCTCAGGAAAGTAGGGGTGTCTTAAAGGTAGGTCAGCAGGGGGCTGGGAAGAAATAAAACCAGAATGGGGTGCAAGAACTTGTGGGGAGAGAGGGAGAGGGATGAACTGGCCTTGGATCTGCTTCAAGCCCTCTTGCTGGGCTGCAGCGGCACAGTCTGTTCCCTGCCGCCGAAAGGAACCTCTGTTTGTTTGTGGTTTCCAGTATTAGTTTCTTGCTACTATGTCAATATGACCTGCACGTAAATAGCAGACCCAGAGTCACACATCTCCGCGGAGCCCTATAAAGATGGCACACGTTCTGCTGCCGCTTCTAAATATGTTTGTTTGTGGCCCTCTTTGCCATCTCCCCTGGCAGGGTTAATAAGGACAGGTCTATTTTCCCCTCCCCGCCGACATCACCGTTTAAATATTGAGGTCCAGCGCTGTTTGGCATTTGGGCCCCATACGGAGAGCGCTGGCTGTCTTTTCCACTGGGGAATAAAATGTCAATGCACAATTGTTTCTTCATCACCCTGAATGAATTGCCTTGTGTTTACAAAGGTCAGGGTCTGTAAGAGAATCATGTTTAAGGGCCCGTTTCTATGGAAATTAGGCAGCCCCAGCTGAAAGTATTTCATGCACAAAATGAAGTTTCTTAACTCTGATTGGTACATGCACACTCCTGATGTAACCGTGGCTGGCTTTTGGGATTTCCTTTTCTATTCCCTCCAATCCTTGCTAAACGTGTCAGGTGTAGAAGCAGGAGAAGCACAAGCAGGTACTTTCGAATGGCTTCCTTCTTTCTTTATGTACTTGATGGGCCTTTTGGCTGCTTAGACTGTGTGTAGCTCTGCCCGCTAGGATTTCGTCCTCCAACTGTCGCCATGGTGGTCTGACGGTCTTCATTTTGCAGGTGACTGGAGGTTATCACCTAATATTGACTCCAACGGGGATGCTCTGCCTTCAGCTCTGGCTTCTAAGGGCTATCGGAGCGTGCGGCCAAACATCCCGTCTGAGACCAAACCGCAGGTAAGCCCCTTTCCAAAAATGTGCATGCTCTGAGAGATCGCTCGAGTCAGAGCACTGAAAAATCAAGAGACCCGTGCGACCTCTTTTCGTGCTTGTGGAAGCTACCGCTCTGCAGGGTGGGAAATAGTGACCTGGTGTCTGTTAAGGCAAAAGAGGGGGCTCCAACTGGTTTCCCACCTGTGAAGCAGGAGCGGCGATTCCCCATTTCAAAGGGCGGCTGCTGGGAACAGTATGGAGATTGTAAACAAATAATGTAGAATGTTTAATGTCCAGGGAAACATTACAGATCCGTTCATTCTCTCAGCGTCCTTGTGAGGTAAGGCATCGTCGTCAATGGGGCATGCCATGAGATCTCTTAGCATTTGTTGCCTGGTTTGTAAGAACCTGTTTAAGATTAATTGCATGCGGCATCTTGTATGTTAGAACGGCCACCTTCTAACTGGAAGCTGACAAAAAGTGGAAATTGGAAGAGCCGCTGGGGCCGTCTCTCTGTACAGGGATTTGCAAAAGGCTATTTTCAGTGCGGCTGGCACGACAGTGGAAACTGCTTCACAGAGGTAGCTTCCTGTAAAATTAACTGGAATGAGGATTTGTCGGTAAGAGATGTTATTAGGCTGGCACTTGATCCCCCACCAAAATGTAGTTTCTTGTTGCCCCCTCCCCCCCCAAAAAAGGAAGGAAGGAAGGAAGGAAGGAAGGAAGGAAGGAAGGAAGGAAGGAAAATTCTCTCCTCCTTTTGGTTCGGCAGATTGCTGTTCGTAAACGAGACAAAGCAAGGAAAGGCTGGGCTGGATTTCTTCCTCACCCTCTTCCACTTTCCTTCACGATATGCCGCTTCCACAGAGGACTGTATCATTACTGCACCATTCAGAGTGAAATGGAAACCTGTTAATACCATGCCTGCAGGCAGGGCTATTTTTGGGCAGGAACGCAGAGGAACGGAGTTCCGGCTGGCTCCAGAGTTGGCCACGCCCATCAGGAGCTCATTAGCATAACAGGCCACACCCAACAGCAGAAACTCATTAGGATTGGCTACATTAAGGGTGTGTGGCCTAACATGCAAAGGAGTTCCTGCTCCAAAAAAAGGCCCTGGGTTTTGACCACAGACAAGGTAAACAGAATAAGAAGCATAAGGTGGGTGTGGCTGGATGACCACACTTCTGGTAACATGGGGGTGCGGCCTAATATGAGCTTTTTTTTTTTTTAGCAAAAGAGCCCTGCCTGCGGGTCAGGAGGGCTGCCTTAATTTCAGCAAAGCCCAGGAAACCGCATGACTCCCAAAAGCCACACTGGACATTGGTGGAAAGTGCTTCCCCAACTTACGGCAACCCCTCATTGGGTTTTCAGGGCCAGAAGAGACATTTAGAGGCGGTTTGCCATTGGCTGCCTCTGCATAACGACCCTGGACTTCCCGGGCGGTCTCCCACCCAAATACCGGCCAGGGCCAACTTTGCTTAGCTTCTGAGATATGATTAGGTCAATGTAGCCTAGCCTGGGCTGATAAAAGTCAGACTTTTTAAAACCACCGACCAATTCTTGACTGATATTTGCCAAATCTTTGAAAAGGTCAGATGGCCAATCTTAAAGGTAAAGGTCTCCCTTGCCCGAAAGCCAGTCGAATCCGACTCTAGGGTTGCGGTGCTCATCTCCGTTTCAAAGCCGAAGAGCCAGCGCTGTCCGAAGACGTTTCCGTGGTCATGTGGCCAGCATGACTAAACACCAAGGTGCACGGAACGCTGTTCCCTTCCCACCGAAGCGGTACCTATTTATCTACTTGCAGTTTCTTGCTTTCGAACGGCTAGGTTGGCAGGAGCTGGGGGCCAGAGACGGGAGCTCACTCCATCATGCGGCACACCCGGGTCTCGAACTGCTGAACTACCGACCTTCCACAGCCTGCAGTTCAGCGTCTTAACCACTTGAGCCACCGCAGCTCCCTGGCCAATCTTGGTCACCTGTAATTTCCATCCAAAGATTTTTTTTAAAAAACAGAAGCCGCCTTGGGAGGCTACAAGTGTGGGGGGGAAGGGGGTTGCTTAACCTTTACCTCTCAGACTGTTTCTTTCTTTGACATCCCCTTACCCCAGCGGCTGCCTGTATGTTTTCCCTTAGTGGCGGAAGCAATTTTGAATAGAGGAGAGGCCAGAAAGAAAAGGGTGAATCGCCCATCCCTCACCCTTGATCCTTCTACAAGGGCTGGATTGAATTCTAAAAAAACAGTGGAGGGGGGGTTATGTGCAGTTTTTACGGAACTCTGTTCCAGCGTGTCCCCCCAGGAAAAAAAGCCCCGGTAGTGTCTAAACAAATAATTATGGATGATCTAACAACAACAACAATTTTAAAATGTTATTGAGTGTCATTGTCGTAGGCAGGGCTCTTTTTGTAGAAAAAGCCCAGCAGGAACTCATTAGCATAACAGGCCACACCCAACAGCAGGCACTCATTAGCATACTAGGCACAGCACATTAGCATATTAGGCCACACCCCCATGTTACCAGAAGTGTGGTCATCCAGCCACACCCACCTTTTGCTTCTTATTCTGTTTACTTTGTTGTCAAAACCCAGAGGGTTTTTTTGTAGCAGGAACTCCTTTGCATGTTAAGCCACACACCCCTAATGCCCCAACTTACGGCAACCCCTCATTGGGTTTTCAGGGCAAGAAGAGACATTCAGAGGCGGTTTGCCTTTGGCTGCCTCTGCATAGCGACCCTGGACTTCCCGGGCAGTCTCCCACCCAAAGACTGGCCAGGGCCAACTTTGCGTTCCTGCCCAAAAATAGCCCTGGTCGTAGGTACTGCCATTCAAGGTGTGTTAGAAAACTGGACAGGGCTTCAGAAAGTCACCGAAAAGGTGATGAAGACCTTCAACAAAAGTGGCTGGTAAGAGTGGGTATCTTTTGCCAAAGGAGACGACAATTTTTGTTGGTTGGTTTTCAGCTTTTCAGATATTTAAATATTAAACCAGAACAGCTGTTGCCTTTAAGAAAGAATTTGTGAGAAACTAGAACAGCTGTTGCCTTTAAGAAAGAATTTAAACTTTAAAAATTTGGAAGAAGAAGAAGAAGACTTCAGCTCCCAGTAAGAGGCTGGGAAGGCATTGGCTAAGGATGTTCATGGCACAGAATATTCCTGACTTTCGAACTGAACTGAATTAGGTGGCTTCCTTTTTGTGAGGCCCGACTATTCTTAGGGATGGATTAATTTAGGGCACTGTTAGCATCTACCTCAGAATTTCCCAAAAAAATTCTAGTAGAACATTAAATACACACACACACACATCTCCCCCACTTTTCTTCCTGATTGGAGACCCAAAGTGGCTTTTCACATCATCCCCCCCACTTAATCCTCGCAACGACACTTAATCCTCGCAATGACAACCTTGTGAGGTAGGTTAGGCTGAGAGATTGTGACAGGCCCAAAGTCACCCAGCCAGCTTCCATGGCAGAGGGTTTTTTTTTCAAACCCAGTTGTCCCAGGTCCTACTCTTAGCTGGACACTCTAAACGGTATGCCACCCCAACCCAACATGTTGCCGAATGTCTTACACTTGAATTTGTTATGGTATTCTGAATGTCTTCATATGGCAGCTATGGGAAATGCTGGCTAATGTCTTAATAACAATCCTTTAACTTTTAAAAGCCTGTAGACATACTTGGCTTATGTGGTAGAAGAAAGCTAAGAATTATACTAAAAATGTCCATGATGTTTTTAAGCAGGATCTCTTATCATGGTGTTATTTTTCTCTTGCTACCTTTATAAAGACATTTTAATCCTCATGACTTTATTCACAGCCGGTGAAATAAAGATGTTTGTATAGTGCTTGTGTGAGAGAGAGAAAGAGAGAGAGAGAATGACAAAGAGAGAGAGAGATTCTAATTATTTGTGTTCTAGCAGTTAATTATCTACAGAAACGGAAGTAATGCAATGCAATCTCAAGTTTATGTAATTGTGTCTTTTTATTAGACCACAAAACAACGTTCTGTGCAAACGGGATTATTAACCAGGCCTAACTTGCTCACTGCAGGGAACTTGAACAATGAAGGCCTTTCATTTCGCTTTTGTAGAATTAGAGCTTTGGTATCAGTAAGTCTCATTGTAAGGACCATTTCCAAGGGAAAAGATCGCAGAAAAGATGTTCATCGTTGTAATGTTGAGAAGATCTTTTCCACAAAATGACAGGATGTGAAAAGATATCGTTTGCTTTTACATAAGGGTGGCTTTTGTAGGACCTGTTCAGCAAGCACCTCCATCCCTTTGGGTTTTCTGTACAGGTTTAACAGGAGCACTGCAGAACTTAGTGCAGAGTATTTACAGACGTCCTGAATAAAAACCTGAGCCGAAAATGAATCCTACTGTCCAGATTTCCTGAGAGGGGCTGTAGGTAGGCCAACTGTTCTCAGAAGTGGGTGGCAACTCTCTCAAAGGCATAGGGTTGCCAGGTCCCCCCTGGCCACCGGTGGGGGCTTGGGGAGGTGGGGTTACCAGATCCAGGTTGGGGAACGTCTGGAGATTTGGGTCACCGGTGGGGGCTTGGGGGGTGGGGTTACCAGATCCAGGTTGGGGAACGTCTGGAGATTTGGGGAGGGCAGGGACCTCAGTGGGGCACAATGCTATAGAGTCCACTCTCCAAAGCAGCCATTTTCTCCAGGGGAACTGATCTCTGTAGTCTGGAGATGAACCATCATTCTGGGGGATCTCCAGGTCCCCCCTGGAGGCTGGCATCCCCCTGGGATGCAGGAGGAACTGGAGAGAAAAAGCTCTGGACAGGCTCAGTGGCAGATCTGGGTATGCCTCTGTGTAATGTGCCGAATGGCCAGTAACGCTGCATATTTATGAATACTAAAATTAAAAATACTAATGTGTTCAGTGGTAACTGATGTGAGCTTCCTGGATTTTATATTCAGGTGAGCAGGCATGTTGGTCTGAAGCAGCAGAACGAAGGTTGAGTCCAGTCGGCCACCTTTAAGAGCACCAAAGTTTAATTTTGGGTATAAGCTTTTGTGTGCACGCACAAAGTGCACGGATATGAAAGCTTATGCCTTGCATGAAATGTTGTTGGTCTTAAAGGTCGCACTGGACTCCAACTTTGTTCTGCATTTCCTATTGCGGAAGAAGAAAGTCACATCTTGTTATTTTACAAGCAAGTTTGAAAGGCACAGCAAGTTTAGAAGTGAATCCCACATCGAAAAGTCTGAGGATGCCCACTGAAGGTTGTGGCATTCAGTTCTGACATTCGTCCCCAGTAAAAACCCATCTTCATTCCCTGTGAAGCTCTGGTGCTTTGGTGGTTGGTCAGTCAAGGATTTCCTGTTTTCCCCACAGTGCCTCGTGTGGATTTCAGTGTGACGAACCTTCACACTGAAATAAAAGTCAGGTTTGCAGCCAACAAATAAGGCACGCCGAACAGGTGTATGGTGGAATGTCAAGCTCGTCATGGGAACACGTGAAAATGTTTCAGACGTGGGCTGGAGTGATTGTGTTATGCCAGGAGCCGTATTAAACTTTCATTTCTCACTGTTAACCCCAGTCTAATGACCAACTCAATTCGTTTCTCTCCCCGTCCCCCCTTTTTTCCATCCCTCGAACCAAACAGACTCCTTCCCGCCCCCCTCCTCCAAAAGAGGAGAGCTTTGCCTGGCACCCTCGCACCAACACCAGAATAACCCACCTGCAGCCTGTGCCCATCATGGACTGTGTGTACCTGAATGCCCCTAAACTGCCGGCGCCCAACATTGGTGGCAGGCGGGATTTTTCTTCCTCCCCCAGGCCCTTCATTGCAGCGCCTCACAAATCCGCGGGTTCGGCCCACACAGACAGGGTGCATGCTGGGAAATCGCTTGCGGGAAGTGGCTCCTTGTTACCAGACACGTCCTCGGAGTACCAAAACAAACAGGGCCCTGCTGAGGCAGGTCCGAGTAGTGGAGCTGGACTGAAACCCAACCAGGAAACTAGAGCAGAGAAAAAGGTCAGCCGTCTATATGTAGCTTGTTTATCTAACCGCACTTGCTTGGCTGCATCCGAAAATTCCACCGCCTGTGCACATGACCAAACAGAAGGCGCCCGTTTTGGACCTGAGGTCACCGTGGCACCAGCCGCCCACCGTGTTTCCTCTGCAACGGACACCGGAGAGCCTCTTCCTCCTCCTCCTTCTCCTCCTCCTCCTCCTGTCCCTCCCAGGCCATTCTTTAACATTGTTCTCGGTGGAGATGCAGTTAGTTATGCTGAGAGCCATCCTTCCCGGACCCCCCAGGCTGGTGAGGACACAGAGATAGAGCCCCCAGGCGAGATGAGGGAAGACTCCTACGTTACTCGGCGCCAGCAGCACCCGCCACAGCGACATCCCTGCAAGGCGAAGGGATGTGGAAGGGTACCTGATTTCTTTTGTAACCTCCTCCTTCTTTTGTAACCCCTTTCCACCACGCTGATGGTTCTCCTGTGACTTGCTCTATCAGCGCTTTAACACATCGGTTCTTTTTCTCTTAATAGCTCCAGTTCAGGTGACCACCGTTCTATTTAACAATCTGTTGTTCACTCCTCAAAGGCTGTGTGTGTGCGTGCATATGTGTGTATTTGCAAGAGAACAGGAGCTCTTGGAAGAGGAGGGTTGAGATATGATGTGAATATTGCTGTTTAGACGCATCTGCAGACAGCCACTGGCACCAAGCTGTCCTCAAGGGGCATCGGAATGTGTGGTTAAAATTTGGAAGGCCTCATCTCTGAAGGATGATGGACTGGGGGGGGGGGGAAATGCCAGATTTGTATGAACAGTTTTGGCTGCTGGGCAAAGGTTGCTCCATCTCATGCGAGGTTTGTGGCCCTTGCATGTGTCGTTGCCGCACCTCCGTGGTTGTGATGGTCCAGGTTTCCCCCCACAGCATAACGCCACCTTCTCTCCCACAGGACACCACTTGCTCCACCACCGCCCCAGCTCAGACTAAGGTTATAGTAGTGCCACTCCACCAGGTCCACCCCGACAGAGGGCAAGAAGCCGGCTCGGGCACACCGCCACCGCCTCTGGTACCTTTTGGGCAAAGTCCAGCCTGCCCCGAAGCGTCTTCTGCCGGCTCACGCCTGACCTTCCCAACGTTAGATGATTTCATTCCCCCTCACCTCCAGAAAGGCCCCCACCATAACCAGCCGCCTGCTGCCTCTGGGACCGTGCCCCACCTGCGCCCGAAACTGCCATCACTGTCACCGCCACCTTCACTGGTCCCTCCCGCCACCGAGGGCTCACGCCGAGTCTCGGAGCCCGAGAGCATGGGAGTTACCGTGCGCACAGTAAGCCCCGCCGCACGCTGTCCTGGCAGCTTTGCTGAATTAATGTGCCCAAACGTGACTTTTCTCTCTGGCGTACTAAACTTTGAACAGAAGCTCCCTGGCGGCAGCATGACAGCCGGAACCTTGTTTACATCCCCGTTATAGCGCATGTAATGCATATCTCTCTCTCTCTCTCTCTCTCTCTCTCTCTCTCTCTCTCTCTCTCTCTCTCTCTCTCTCTCTCTCTCTCTCTCTCTCTCTCTCTCTCTC